AACCAGGGATGGAACTTAGGACCTTGAGCTTGTGAGGTAGCGGGACTACTGAGCTAAATCCCTGGCCCCTGTAATGCACTATTCTTAACAATTATATGCCAATAAATTGAATAACCTAACCAATTAATACATTTCCTAAGAAAATACAAGTTAGCGGGACTGAAAAAGCTTAACCACAGGAATATCAAAAGTTTTGAAGAAATACTAATAAGAATTTTGGAAAAAAAGTTCACAGTCGGATTGTTTTGTATATGAATTATACAAAATGTTCAAAAAACAAATAGCAATATTCTTGCAAAAAAGTAAGGACAGAGTGAATACTTCCAAACATATTTTCTGAGATAGCAACATGTTGACACTTAAGCCAAAAAACATATCAGAAGCAGAGAACTGCAAAACTTCAGGCCAGATTATCTGAAGATCATTGATGCAAAATGCCTTAAAAAATATTACCAAATCAAGCATAATAATGGGTCAAATAATGTATCATAATAAGACATTAGAAAGGATTACAACTCATGACCAAGTAGAATTTGTCCTAGACAGGGAAAGCCAGTTAAATTTAACAAGGGTACTTCCTAGGAACAGAATGGAAAATTAAAAGACACACGATGAATTCGATGCCAAAAAAGCACTTGAAACATCTAGCATCGTTTTTTGATAAAAATTCTTAATTTCTGTTATGGAAGCAAAATTCTTCAACATAAGTAAAATTTCTAAGAAAAATTCAAAGATGTTATAATGTATAGAGGAAAACTGACTGCTTTTCAACTAAAATCTGATATAAGGTGATGATGCCCATTGTGCCACTTATACTCAGCAGAGTCCTGCAAACACTATCAAGGAAGCCAGATAAGAAAAAGAAACAAAAGGTATTAAAATCAGAAAAGAAGTAAAATTATCCTTATTGTCAGATGACATGATCCTACTAGGAAAAAACCACCAAAAATTCCACAGAAAACTGTACTAGAATTAATAAATGAATTTAGTAAAGTTGCTGGATATGAAGTAAATTTATAAAAACCAGTAATATTTTATACCTAAAGAAAGAGAAATTAAGAAATCAAACCCATTTATAATAGAATCAAAAATTAATGGAAACACTTTGGAATCAAGCTGTGGAGGCAAAAACTCTTTGCAATGGAAACTGTAAAACATGATGTAATAAATTAAAGAAGACACAAAAGAAGTGGGAAGATATCCTATACTTACGTATCAGAAAATTTAATGTTGTAAAAAAAAAGTACATACTACAGAGGCAGTATACAGACATAATTGAACCTCTGTCAAATTCTAATAGTATTCTTCATGATACATGAAATATAATCTTAAAATTAATAATGAAGCATAAAACCACCCTAAGTAGCATAATTCTGAGGGGAAAAAGACAAGTAAGAAACATTATACCCCCTAATTTAAAACTGTATTACAAAGCCATCATCATCAAAACAGTATGTGCCAAGCTGAAAACAGAAGCATAGAGCAATGGAAGAGAACAGAGAGCCAGCAAGAGGACACAATGAGGAAGGGATGATCTCTTCAATAATTGGCACAAGAAAACTTGAATTTCCATGTGAAAAAGGAGAAAATGGATGCTTACTGATACAACACAAAAAGATTAATAAGAATTGATTAAAGAAATACATATAAGGAAAGAAACTCTAAAAATCCTTAAAGAGACCTTGGGGAAAACTTTGGAACATTTTCTTAGATGATTTTTTTCAGGTACAACTCCAAAAGCTCAGGCCACAGAGGCAAAATAAATACACGAGACTACATAAAACTGAAATACTTCTCCATAGCAAATGACACAATGTAAAAAATAAAAGGCACGTAATGGATTGGGAACATTTACATACCACATATTTGATAAGTGCATAATACAAAAAAGTTAGAAAGAAGTCATATAACTCAGAAAAACAGTCCAATAAAAAAACAAGAATGAAACTGGAGTTTATTATGTTAAGTGAAATAAGCCAAATACAGAAACACAAATACCACGTTTCCTTTCATTCATGGAAAATACAAAGCTAACCTTATAGAAAAACAGAATAGAATCATGATGTCTGGAAGCTGGGAAGAGCACAAGAAAAGACGGACAAAGAGAAGTCAAAAAGGGCATCACCAAAACACAATGTGAGAGGAGAGATTAGTTCTGATAGTACAGTAAGGTAACTATTGGTTGAACCAATCTATAAAGTTTTTCAAAATGATGAGAAAATTCCCAATGCAAAATAAGTAATGTTCAGAGAAATGGAAAAGCTTGTTACCTTAATTTGATCACTACACATTATATACGTCTACTGAATATACTATATTAAGATGTATACATATGTCTTCATTAAAATATAAATAAAAAAATGGAGAAAAAGATGTGAATAGACATTTTTCAAGGAAGACATGAATAGGGTCAACAGGTGTATGAAACAATGATCAACATCACTAATTATCAGAGAAATGCAAGCCAAACTCATTCTAAGATTGTCTCACACATATTAGGATGGCCATTATGAAAAAAATCAAAAGAAAAAATGTAATGAGGCATGCACCAAAAAGGAACTCCTGTGGCAGCATCTTAGATGGGCACAGGTGCTATGTAAAATAATATGAATATTTCTAAAGATACTAAAATAGATATTATCATATAACCCTAATAGCCCTTTTCTGGATATGTACATAAAGGAAATACAAATACTACTGAAGACAATTACATGTTCATTCTCACTATGACGTCATAAACAACTGTAAAATACAGAAGCACTAAATATATGTTGACAGAAAACAGAGAAACTGTATAAAATGTATACAATAGAATGTGATTTAGTGCTAAGAAATAAGGTCCTGCCATTAAGCACAGCACAAATAAGTTAGAGGATATTATGTTGATAATGTCTTAGTATATTAATAAATGAAATAAACAAGACACTAACACAAGAATATTACATGCTCTCACTTATACATACAATCTGATAAAAAAAAATCCAAGGACTACCAAAACACAATAATGGATAAAAAGAAAGTATTTTACAGGAGTTTGTAGATGGGAAAATTGGAAGAGGTAAATCATAGAATACAAAATAGCAAGGAACAATAAATAGATCTAATATATAGCATAAAGATACTATGTAATAAAATTGTACTGTATATGAAATTCTTGAGAAATGAATAGATTTTAGCTGCTCTTACTACAGGAACAAAAATTAAATTGGAAACTATGTTAAGTGATGAACACAATAGTAAACTTTTCACTGTATCTACTTAGGTATATAAAATTATGTTATATACCTAAACATATAAAATAAAAAGGCTACAGACATCGTTTAGAATTTTATAGAATTCTTGGCCACTTGTTAATGCAACAATCCTGTAGGCCACACAGCAATTAAATTTATCTGAGATAATTGCATACACTTTTATATACTAAGAGATATGGCCAAATCCCAAAACAAAAACAAATGAATAATATACCTTTCTGAACTTATTTTTTCTATCTATCTATCTATCTATCTATCATCTATCTAACCTTTATGTCTTCTAATTGCAGGCATTATCCACATATTTCCATCCATATTTCATTCCAGAAAAAGCTAAGTTGGTACAAATAGAGGCTTAAATTCAGACCATTGTTAAATGAATGTTCTACTTCTTCCCTGATGGACTCACTGCTAGATCCTCTGTTTTTTGCTTCCTGACTGAGGAATTTCAGCATAATGCTAATTACTTACTTGAGTCACTAACAAAATGTCTACACAATTTTTCTATATTCTGTATTTTCTTTTACTTTGTCTTTATACTGTTTATTTTTTTATATCTATAGTTTTATTTTTCATGAGGGAATTATGACCCCATAACTACTGTCTGCTCAGAAAGTGCCATTTAAAAAAATCCCTTTTGGATCATACCTTGAGAATCTTGCACATAATCTCATAAACTGAGAATGTTTTCTCTGCTCGGGTCCAGTCCCAAGTGGTCACCTTTAAAAGATGAGAAATAATATTTTATTTGTTTTGGAATTATATTTCTGACCTCTCTCTAATTCTGTTAGTATGGTATTCTACATAGTACAAGTAAAACTTATATGATGTATCTGTTTTGTCTCCCAATTAATAATGTTATTCTGATAGTTCCCTGTATATTGTTTGATTTCCTCTATTTCAAACTCTATCACCATTCCATTCTTATTTTATCAGAAAGTATTTTGTTATATGCAAAAATTTCCATTTGCCTTATTTTTTGTATGACTTAAATAAAGCAGTGTTTTTTCTTTTTTTCTAACCCCATCCCCAATAATGTATTTCTTCTACATATAAATATATGTATTTATTCTACATAAATATTTTTTCTTGATTTGCCATCAAACAAAGAAACATAAAATGTCAACACTGGCTTCAAATTGTTTTTAAAGTAGTATTTCTATTGAGAAATGATTCTAAGATGCCTTATAACATTAGGAAGAAATCAACACTATGAAAAAATTGGTCTAGTATTTCTGTTTGATATGTTGGTCCAATCAAGAAAGTATTCAAAGTAGGAGCATAACAAAATATACAACATTAAAATTGTTTTTTCTTTCCTTTCTGGTGTTTTGCAATTTGTGTAAAAACAGACACTCAAAATAGCTTTCAAACGTGCAGATCTCAGATTCCCTGTATTATTAGGCCTGTTGGTGAATGGTTTGGCATTTAGTATTTATTTTTAATAAATATTTATTGAGATTCTACTGTTGAGTAAGGTTGATGTTTCCAAAAGCAAGACTTTAGATGTAATAATTAGCTGCATGTACTTCCTACAAATACCAATGCCCACGATATAGAATATAGCAGATTATGAACATATTACTTATGTGATTTAGACATTCGGCGCAACACTGATACTTTGACAAACATAAATGACAGCTCACAGACAGTATTTCTGACTTTTGCCAAGGATAAGAATTTGTAATTTAAACATTTAACATAACAGAAGTTTTACTAAATTGAGATAGATTTGCTACTTACTGGGAGAACGTGATTATTCTGAGATGTATTTACTTGCTACTAATAAATTAAATGTATGTTAAAAATATGTTGCTAGTACTTAAAAGTGACACATAAATTAGAAGAGGCTCTAAAATGTCTCACTGATGATATAAGATTAATAACTTTATTTGAGGTTTAAAGAATCTTCAAACTTATTTACCCCACCCATACTCATTTCTTAATATAACTATTTCTTTAACTTTTATTCAATGAAAAAAATATAACATAGCCTAGGAATATTTCTTGAAATCTTGGCAATGTCTTCATGGGGTTTCTAACACCATTATTGTTTGATCCATTATTTCTTAGGTTCACGGTCTAAATAGAAACACTTTCCAAATTTTTCATTTATTAAATGTAAAGTAAATAATTAATACAATAACATACACGCTCGATAAGATATTTCAGAAGGAGCTGGGCTGTTCGTTTCTATTGAATTTCCAAAACATGTTGACAATATACTCTATTATTCAGTTGATGCTCATCTGTTATGAAAAAAAATTGGAAAAACCAGTATATTTGGACAAAAATACTCACTGGAGGTGCCAGAAACTTGTAAAGACATGAGCCCCTCAGGGCTAGAAATGTTGGAGAATAGATGCGGTCTTGAAGGGGGTCTTGCTCCCTTGCTTCGCACCAGCCCATATACACTATCTGGAAGGAAATTGAACATAATCAACTGTCAAAAAGAACCCTTAGTTTAGGCATCTTGTATTTATTTTTCACATCTTGGTGTATTATAATCCCATAAAAATATCAAATAGATGTATGCAAAAACTACACTGAACGATGCTTACTTTCAATAAGTTGACAGTTTTCACAAAGTTCAAAATGTTTCCCTTAGCATTTAGCAAGTGTTTATGCAGTTCAACCTGACATGAATTATATTCCCCCTTTCCCATTTCTGATTATAAAAATACATATTTCTAATAGAACCAAAATACTCATTCTTTTGATAATTACTGTCATTTTATTATACAGCAATGCACTCTCAGTACAAAATATTTAGGTGCACAAGAATCATTTATAAAGATTAAAGGGAATGGTTCTGATATTGAAGTATCAAGTCCTCAAAAAATAGTAAAGTTTAAATTTCATGTGTCTGTTAATATCCTTTTAAAAGAGAGAATTCCAAGTCCAATAAAAAAAATAACAAAAGAAATGGACAAATGAACAATCCCAAGTAGGAGAGTTTAGCACAATGTAAACAAAATGTAGCAAAAATCCACTGGGGCATAGAAATTTTTAACAATCTAATTATTAAATTCTGTTTAATTTGTAAGCCTAAGACATTTCAACAAAAATGGACTTAAAAAAATGGACTTCAAATTATTTTCAAGTACACTCAAATAAAAATGAATACACTTACTAACTCATATTATTATCTATTGTCAAGTAAATATCAAATAAGTTTTTTGTTCCAATGGTATGTTTGTTCTCTAAGTAAAATTGGAGGCCAATAGTCACACTAATACAATAACTTGCCCCTAAACAAACCTTTAAAAATTAAGTGATATATCTCAGTAAGTCAAAGGAGGAATAACAAATGATACTAGAACATAGCTCGATTTAAAAAAATAATGAAACATGACATATAAAATTTGAGTGTATCCTTAGGATTTTGTAGCCTATATGTATTCATTTGATATGTGAAAAATACAAAATACAGGGATCCTGATCAAGAAATCTGAAATAGTTCGAACATAGGTAGTAAGGTAAAGAAACATAAAAACAAACTAAAATAAACAAAAGAAACAAAACAAACACAAAACAGGAATTCAACAAAGCAAGTAATATTGTTTACAGATATAAATTTTATAGGGCAATAGAGGCATAAATTGTTAATATTCATGTTATTGTGTCCTACAGATATTATAGTAATGTTATAAATATGATGAACTATTGTGCCAGCGAATTTTAAAATTTAAATAAAATACATTAGTATTTACAAGGATATCAGAATGGGAACAAGTTTCATGAAATGAATAATTCTATAATTACTAAAGTGATTTAATTTGTAATTTTAAGTATTCAAAAAAAGAGAATTTAAGGACATAGTGAATCCATTTTCAATTTTTACTAATTGTTTAAAATCATTCAAATACTTACAGTCTTCTGGACTATAGAGTAAAGGAATGATAAGTCACTAATTCAATCTGACCTTAACACCAGGCTCACAAAGATGTTCATTATAGGAAGGAAATTTGGGTTTCATACATTTTAAATAGGAAAAAGGCCCAAATGAATGAGTTGCAAAACTAGAGTGATGCATTCATATTTACAAGTGTGAGTACAATTCACTGTATAAAGAGTACAGTCTCCAAAATGCTTTAGAATTGTTTAATGAAATTCAGCTTGTATTCACTAGAGTCTTATACTTTGTGAATATAAGAAAGCCCCTTATTCTAAACAAAGATATTTATTTTTTAAAAAAAACATACTTAATAGGACACTATTGAAAACTGTTTGAGATCAGTCACAATATGAAAGATTTAAATTAATGTAAAAATTATCAGATGTAAACATTAATAAAATCGAAAACAAATGTACTACTCAGCCATAAACAATGAGAAACTAGAGTTATTTATAGAAAATCAATGCGTATTGAGGCCATACTCAAGTGAAATACGTAAGGCACACGTGTAAATACTGAATAGTTTCTCTGGTGTGAAAAACTAAAAGTGCAAATAAGATTCAAATTGTATAACTGATAATGTGAAATAGGAAGAAAAGGGTTAAAGGTGTTGGGGAAATGGGAAAGATCGGGGAAAGGAAATAAGGGAAAAGAAAAATATGAGAAAAGGAAAAAACGGAAACAAAGTCTTTGTAAATAGAGAAGAGTGGAGGGGGTGAAGGGAACGCAGAGGTATGGGGAAAAAATGAGAACCAAGATATATCATGTAAAGGTACAAGATCCCAGAGATGAATGTAACTGTACTGTATACCTAAAATGTACCAATAAACTCACTAAAAAAAAAAAAGAAAAGAAAACAAATGTACAATACTTATTTATTGTCACTAATGATTAATCATGAATTTTTGGTTTATTCAATGAGAAATAAAAGAAAAATTAAGAGTTCTAGGTTTTAAAAAAGGCACTTTTAATTGATAACATAAATATGGCCAGAAAATATAAATAAGTTTCAAATAAATCACTTTAATTAATATGTGAATTTATAATCAGTATGAAAATTATTATTCAAGATAATTTATATTGCCAAATAAGAAACAGTAGGCCAAAAATTTTAAATTGGTTAATTATAGTATGAACTAAGAAAAGTACAAGCTAGTAGAAAAGTGGAAAAGTGGTATTAATGAGACGTCGTAAAAATGATTTGGACTATTCAACTTTTATTGACTTCTTTTCATTGACTTCTATTTGACTTTAACTAATCAGCTCTCTGAAGAAATACAATTTAAAACCATCATACTTTCCAGTGTGTACCTTTCAAAGTGGCTAAAATTAAACAGCAGAAAATGCCAAATTTTGCTGAGAGACTACAGTAGCATAAAAGCTCTTGTACCAATGGCCAGAATCCTATAGTTTGCCTGTAATGTAACCTGAATACAACCGTGCATTCAAGTGTGCCTGGGAACATTCACAGGACTGTTCATAGCAGTTTAATTTAGAGTAGGCCCAACTACACACCAATATTTAAAATACGAATAAACTGTGTATTCTCAAATATATTTTTATGCATGACTGTAGTCTTAAGTTACAGTATGAATGCATAACAATAAAATTATTAGCTTGCAGTTACACAGAATATGGATGAATCTCATAGAATGTAGTATTAATTGAAAGAATACAAAATAATACATATTTATAAACTAACTCAAATGAAGTATGATAATTTTAAGTGCATTCTGGGTTTTTTTCTTTTCTCATATTTATTCCTTTCCCTTCTTTTCTTTCCCCTACCCCTCCTACTTACTTTTCCCCTTTACACCTTTTCTTCCTATCTCACCTTATTTATTAGACATTTTGATCCTCATTTACACTTTCAGCTTCTCACACCAGAGAAACTATGTGGTATTTACACGTGTGTCCTATTTATTTCACGTAAGAGTATGGTCTCAATTTGAAAATTCTGAGAGTAAAATAGTAAAACAAGGCCAACATTACCTGGGTGTGAAGACAATGGCACTTTAGAAATGAACCATCCTGTAGTGACTGGAGAAGAACACAGACCACAGGCGGGGATCTCAGGGACTATCAATCTACTTTGTTGACCTGTGTTGTGATCACACAAGGGTTTGGCTTCT